AAAGCTATAATACCCTGACAACATAGTTGTGTAGGGTATAAAAATGGCTAGGACAAAATACAGTACAGATACAGTACAACTTCGGAAAACTGAATGGTGCGCCGCCTTTGGTGACGGATGAGTGTACCCCAGATATATGGCGCCTGTTTGTTCGAGAGATTAAATCGAAAACCAGGTATTTAGTAGATACAGGAGCAGATTTAACGGTATATCCTGTGTCACAATCCATGCGCAATCATCCTCCCAGTCAGCTTGTTCTGTATGCCGCAAACCAAACTCCGATTAGGACATATGGCACAAAAACTCTATTGCAAGTGTAAAGGATTCTGCTATTAAATGTATTTCAAGATTATCTGAATATACGCCATTGCTTCGAGAATTTAACGACTTAACAAAGATTAATTTCAAATCTAAAGCAAAACATTCAGTTAAGCAACATATCAAAACTACGCAGTTCCACATATTCATGATTTTGGTGCATTGCTGGATGGTAAGACTATTTTCAGCAAAATTGATTTGGTTAAAGCTTACCACCATATACCAGTGGAAGAAGATATTAAAAAGACAGTGGTAGCAACACCGATTGGAAATTTTGAATTTACTAGGATGGCATTTGGATTGTGCAACGCTGCACAAACATTCCAGCGATTTATGCACGAGGTATGTAGAGACTTAAAATTCGTTTACGTTTATATAGACGACATTCTCGTTGCATCAGTAAGTGCGGAAGAACATCAAAATCATCTTAGAAGATTATTCGAAAAACTGCGCCAATATGGTTTAACTATCAACATCGATAAAAGTGTTTTTGGAGTTGCGGAATTGTAATTTCTTGGGTATCTCGTAACAAAAGAGGGGTTAAAACCTCTTCCTAGCAGAGTTCAGGTAATACAAGCATATAAGAGACCCAGCACTGTCAAAGATCTTCGTCGTTTTCTGGGTATGATAAACTTCTACATACTATTTCTACCAGGTGTTGCAAAGTCACAAGCAATTTTACATAGCATTTACAACGGCAATGTGAAGGACGATAACAGCGATATAAGAGTTTCACAAACAAACAGCATCTTCCCACAGTTTCAGGATGCAAGGAATAGTATACCCAAGGATCAAATTGAGCATTTTATTGATTCGAAGCCTCGTAGGTGTGCTGCCGTAATAAAAAAATTGTACATTACTAGCAAAATTAGCTTTATAAGAAAAACTCAACAAGTTGCTTTAGTTTTGACCAATCAAAAATTGGTTCAATTTAGTTTTCAATAAGCCGACCATATGATACCCTACACAACTACCAATGAACTAACTAACTTTTTGCGGATCTGTATTCCGAGCCTGAGCAAAATTTTGAGATATTTGCTTATAATAGTGACCCCTAGAAAGCCTTGAAAACCAGATAATAATAATGTTTTCGTCCATTTCATTCCGCAAAATATCATCTGATCATTTATTATAGGCATTGTCCTTGACCATTTCCGGAACTCCGTGCATAGTTACGTGCATAAAAGAACATATTGTTGCTATCAATTTGACCGCTGGCCAGACCCGTTTCTCCGTACAAACGCCCGATAAAACGAAAGTTTTTGGTTCATTTGATCCCCAAAATATTAACCGATAATACCAATATCGAACGAAATTCAGTACAATGTATACTTACTATTACAACATACTTTTGGTTACAAATGCGTCGGATGACAAGAACCAATATATCCTTTTCAGTGACAAACTTCATTGAATTAGTAGGAAAGTATGTGTAAAAGTTATCCCACAAATATTGTGAGCTTTATTGTGAAAGTCAACAGTATTATACCCTATATGTTTATAACATACATACACAAAATATGTGCACCTTTGAAATTTATAAAGAAATCAGTGAGCAGTATAATCGGACGGACCCTACACAACTTGCACGAAAATTTAACTTTCTGTGGTTCTATATTCTGATATTGGGCAATATTTCGCGATATTTGCACTCTCTTGACCGTCTAGAAGTCAACAAATATTACTAAAATTCAGTACAGCCCTTCTAATTACTTGTCCAGATTCCCTTCACCGTGGGTTGTGTTGTGATGTTCAGCTTTCAACAAAACACAAAAATTAAGTTTTCGGTCCACTTCATCCCAATATTATTGTCTGATCATCACTGAAAATTATAACTGGAACCTCATGGAACATTTTAAAGCGATCAGCGCTATATTTCCGCCATCTAGTGTGGTAATGGTTTACTAAATAAATAAATACGTAAGCGCCTGTATATATTTACGTATAACTCCCACATCCGAGTAGATACGACAATATAATTGATATCAATTTAAGGGCCAACCACTCCTCATGGATACACTATCAACTTCTCGGCTCTATATTTTTCAGGAGTAAATATATAAGCTATAGAATACACATTTTGTCATTTTTCACACAAAAGTCAGGGTTCATTTGATCCGAAAAATACAGACATGCTTATTCTTTGACCCGATCCCTTTCTCCATGTAAAAATTCGCTATGTTTGGGCCATAACCTAACATATTAACCGATCTTTACCAAAAACAATAGGGGTATTCATTGGGCCGAACCCATCCTACATGCAACATTTCGTGAAGATTGGTCGATAAATGTGGCCTGTATCGTGTTTACAAATTATAATGGAAAGACGGACGGACGGACACACATGTTTAGGTCGACTCAGCTAGTCGAGATATGACGATCGGTATACTTAAAGGTGGTGTTTCGGTTTGTATAATGGAATATGTTTTGCAAAACTTTTCTAGAAAACCAAATCAGAACCTAAAATGGACTTAAACCACTTTCCTATGATGGACCCATTGGCCCACTCCTTCTGGTACATCCATCAGAAAGTACCAAAATTTTGAAAATGTTCAAATACAATATCAAGCGAACAGAATATTCATAATAGTTTTACCAGTCCTAAATAAAATCAAATACCAATGTGGGAACCATCGGTCCTCTCCTTTTCCTACTTCCTCGATATGGGTCAATATGTTAAAACTTTAAAAATATTATAGAGCGAATAGAGCATTCAATTAGGATAAGAGATCAGGAATCAGAAAATTATTTCAAACCAGTAAGGAAAGTAGTAAAGTCGGACGGGGCCGACTATATGATACCCTTCACCACTTTGGGTATATTCAACAGATGGAATTCTAGCAGACGTCGAATTTTTGAAGGACCATTAACATGAAATGAAGGATATATAGGGAAGGATATATAGGGACTTTGTTGCAACATTTACATAAAATCGATCCAAACTATATATGGGAGCTATATCTAAATCTGAACCGATTTTCACGAAATTTAACACACATCGTTCTAGACATAATTCAGTACGCTATCCCAAATTTCGTGCAAATCGAAGGATATATAGGGACTTTGGCGCACCATTTACATAAACTTGAAGGAAAATATATGTGGGGGCTATATCTAAATCTGAACCGATTTTCATGAAATTTAACACACATAGTTCTAGACTTAATTCAGTACGCTATGCCAAGTTTCGTGCAAATCGAAGGATATATAGGGACTTTGGTGCACTATTTATCAAAAATAAGACAAAAATATATATGGGAGCTATATCTAAATCTGAACCGATTTACACGAAACTTTGCACACATCATTGTAACTTAATTCAGTATGCTATGCCAAATTTCGTACAAATCGAAGGATATATAGGGACTTTGGTGCACTATTTACCTAAAATCAGACGAAAATATATATGGTAGCTATATATAAATCTGAACCGATTTTCACGAAATTTTACCCACATCGTTTTAGACTTAATTCAGTACGCTATGCCAAATTTCATGCGAATCAAAGGATATATAGGGACTTTGGGGCACTATTTACCTAAAATCGGACGAAAATATATATGGTAGCTATATATAAATCTGAACCGATTTTCATGAAATTTTAGACAGATCGTTCTAGACTTAATTCAGAATGCTATGCCAAATTTCGTGCAAATCGAAGGATATATAGGGACTATGGTGCACAATTTACATAAAATCGGACGGAAATATATTTGGGAGCTATATCTAAATCTGAACCGATTTTTCCCAATTTCAATAGGGTTCGTCCTTGGGCCAAGTAAGTGAACTGTGCCAAATTTCATCCAAATGGGATCACAAATGCGATTCTATGCATATTCTCAAAAGGAACCATGTGTCTATCTCGTTTCCTTTTGTCTGTTACAAAGATATGCACAAGGACATAATACCACAGTGTGGTGAAGGGTATAAAAATGTACACGAATGAATCGCTGATCATCCATAAATAATCATGGAAACTTTGGTACACGGCAAAAATCATCTCTAAGAAATCTTAATAGTAATTTGTGGCAGAGTTTAAGTCCATAATTTAGATATTTTCCTAAAATTGGAAATGTTTAAGGCCACATGAATATTTCCGTTTACGACCTACTGCGGATAGAAACTTTTAATACACGTTCTTTCAGACTAATCATGCATGCAAATCACTTACATCAAATCGAACTGAATTATATATGTGGCCTGGCTGTGTAATGGGTTTAGGTTAGGATATGTATTTGAAAATGCATTAGTTTGCTATAAAATCGTTATTTTATATTTTAATAAATCCTATAAGAGATGTTCTTGAGTATCTGATAGATTTCAAGTACAAATGCTAAGTATTTTCGAATATATAACCGATGTTCTGTTATTTTCCTTTAAAATTCTTGAAATCCACAAGTATTGTTTTAACCTCCACACTAAATAATTCGATATCGTAGAAACTCAAAACATCTAATATTATTTATTAATAATAATTATCTGAAGTTATTGCAAGAAAAAAGATTTCTACCGATATTCGGAACTAAAAAAATAACGAATTTAAAGTATGGGAAATATAACCAACTACAAACGAAATAAAATTTAAATAAAACAAAAAGTAATTTCGGTGATGGATTTGTGTACGGTTGACTGTTTCGGGTAACTGTTTTATTATTTTGAATTACCGCTCAAATGGCAACTTACATGGTGTCCCGGTGCATGTTGACAAAACTACATCAAATATTATATAAGACAGACAACAAGAAATATTAAATTGATTTATTTTTTGTTTTTTTTTTGTTGTTTTAGTATTTTTATTTTATTAAACAAAAGAATGGTGTTAGTAATAAAATATTCTAATTTTATATTTATTTTGAAGGATAATTTCATTTAGTTTTCATTTTTTAATATTAAAGCAACAAAAAAGTGGTTAAGTAACAATTGTTGACATAAAAAAACAGAACATTGAAAATATGTAGATTATTAAGCCACAATTAATGAGTATAAGACAATTGTATAATATGGGATATAATTTCAACACCAAAAAATTAAAAAAAAAACACACTTCAATATCAGTGATATTCGACGAGGCAATATGAATTTAAAATTCAAATTTCTTACTGTGATAGTTCCACAGTAAATATACAAATTCACTAAGTTGAAAATCCATTTCAGAGTTCACTTTGTAATTAGTCACACATACAATTGTCTTATACTTATATAATAATTGAAAACAACGTAAAAGTTTTAATTTTTTTTGATATTTTATTATTAAACATAAACAGCCGTATTTACAGCACATTTTTTTTTTAATCAAATTGTGTGGTTCCTGTTAAAGTCAATATTTTATGTATGTACAATAACAATTAGCTTAAATCACAATTCATTTTCTTTTTTCGATTTTTTCATTCATTTGTTGACAACAAAAAATAATTAAAAATGTAAAAAATATACTCACCATACAACTGGCTTCGTGTAACTTTCCTAGTTTTGGCCTTATAAACGGGGCAATTTGTTGCCATAGGAAAGTTTGCACCGATACCGGTAATCCCAAATCCTGTAAACCATCATCCTGATCGATATCGAATTCGTCATTGTTGTTTGAATGATTGTTGTTATTCGTTGTTGATGTATTGGTGACCATTTTCGTGTAGTTGTTTAGATAATTTCTTTAGAAATTCTTATTCCTTTTTTAATTTTGTTTAATATTTGTCATATTACATGATTTTAATTAAAGATCTGTAAAGAGAATATTTCTTTCGTTGATATATTTATTTTCACTATAGGCTGCAAGACTGAAAATTGTCGTTTCTAATTTGCTTTTATTCTACAAATGTGTACATACAAGTTCTGATTAAAACAATGTAATTTAATTTTTTAATCATTTTGTTTTTAGCGGTTGTTTACGTGCTCGTCCTTCTCTTAACCGGAACACAATTGAACTTGTGTTCTGCTCAAAGTTGGCTCGCCAAATGATGCAGTCAACATTTCAAATAGCCTATCGCATTTAATTTTGTACACATTTTAATTTAATACACTGTCTTATATCAATTTTTTTTCAAATAGAAAAAATTTAAAACACATCAAAATACGACTAAGAGCACATTTACATACAACAGAAAATTCGGGATTTAGGGCTGATGCGTCATTTATTTCCTAAAACCGGCACGATTTAGCATCATTTACCATAAAAAAATAACGATGCCAATGATTTCAGCGTCATTTGTTTTAAACAACGCACGAAAACACCATACCATGCTATACAATCGCGCTTTTGTGCCAAAAAGTTGCAACTGTTCTCATTAAATGAGTCGCTCTGTGCATATAGATTAATTTACTTTTTGAAAAATATTAAATTTAAGTATCAAAGTTCTTGGTATAGTCACAACTTTTTGTACTTATAATAACTTTTCTGACATCAGTAGTGTTGGTGGTTTTATTCTGACTTCAGTAGGGTTGGCGGTTTATTTTCTCATATTATTAAAGGAATTAAAGTTCGGCCGGGCCGAACTTTGGATACCCTCCACCATAGGTATACTGACAGGTATTTGAAATGAAAATATAGGGAACATACCAAAACATGGACCTTTATGTAAACCACAATGTACACTAAGTACATTTTGGTGTAAGCTGCTGTTTCAATATGAAAATTGGTATTGCAGAAAAAAGTGTATGAGTACGTCGCACTATGTCGCGAGTTCATATAAACAGCGGCCAAAAAAAGAAGGAGTTATCGTAAGTTAATGAAATTTGGTACACGTGCTTATTATTGGCCTAAAAAGCAACTGTCAAAAAATTGGATAGGTCGGACCAAGATTTGGTATACCTCCCATATAAAGGGTCTTGAGAATGACACCCTTTTTGGCCTATAAAATCTTCAATATTCAAACAAATTCAATGAAAATTTGCAATTTACATTTACTTATGCCTATAAAGCAACTGACCAAAAACTGGGTAGATCGGACCAAGATTTGATATACCTCCCATACCAAGGGTCTTGAAAATTTTACTATTTTGGGCTATAAAATCTTTAATATTCAACCAAATTCAATGAAAATTGGCAATTTACATTTACTTATGCCTATAAAGCAACGGACCAAAAACTGGGTAGACCGGACCAAGATTTGATATACCTCTCATACAAAGGGTCTTGAAAAATCCGATTTTTGGACCTATAAATTGTTTATATTCATTCAAATTCCACGAAAATGTTCATATCTTCGTCTAAATTACATCAAATTTGGGCGAAGACAGTAATAGTTGTTGTAATTTAGTTGTTGGCCCATATTTCAGGTACCTACCATACCAATAGTCCCCAAAAATTTAACTTTCTGTACTATAAAATCGTTATATGCAGCTAAATTAAGTATAGTAGTTTTATTTTTGTTATTTTTATTATAATATAAAAGATATTTGATATCGTTTAATAACTAATAAATAATTTGTTTATCATTCACAACATTTTCAAAACACACATCAGATATATATAGTCTTACCAAATGTACGATGTAGTATCATCCACATTATAATCTCGGGCCTTTACTTTATGCCTGTTTAAGGATATTACAAGGTCAGATTGTAATATAAAATACTAAATAAAATCCTTATTTTACTCGGCTTTAACTACTAATTTTTTGTTGGCATGACTTGTTAGCACCTTGTGAAAGTCGCTCAAAAGGTATTGTACTGCACTTTGCGTATCCCATGCCATGAACTAATATTTTTCTGTATGAACTTTCCACAAAGGTAATTCATGTGCGGCCTCTAAATTAAGATTATAAGATTACGTCTCAAATGATCTGATAAATAAGTGTAATATTCAAACTGACTGAAAATTTATTTAAAAGCTATATTTTAAAACCAAATCTCCCATATCTACCCTTCGAATAACGTTTTTACCACTTAAGTGCATATTTTATGTAAAATATTGTATTATTACTATGTTCTAAATCCATCTTCTCCTTCCTATTTGACCCTCAATAACTTATTTAATTGTATACATAACATATTTGACCATCCGCTTCTAACCATTTCGTGAATATGCCATATTTTTTCAAAAGGTGATCACCAAAAAAGTTAAATAACTCTTAGGACCGCAGGACTCCGCAGCTAATTTTTTTTATTCCTTAAATAACACACTTTCCACCACTCAAATAAAAAAAATTAGAGCTAACCTTTTTTAAACTTTTTTTCTGCTCCACTAATTTCAAAATTTGTTTTACAAATTTGATGAACTAAGTACTATAAGTGTGGACGACTGTATACACCATATTATATCTATATAGATACAAACTAAAGCGAATCCCAGTTTTTACATCCACAGCAACCAAAATAAACACTTTTATAATAACCGTTAATTTGAATATTCAAATATTTGAGCATCAGGAAAACACACCCATTTTTCGAAAATATGGTAAAAAATCAGTTTATAAAAAATTATCAGATTTGAACCTTTGTAGAGACAAAACTACTCGACATATCGATGTAAAATTTCATATTTGTTCTAATTGGAGTATTTTCTATCAATCCTCATCAAAACATTTGTTCTCCGTGGTACTTGGTTTTGACCATTTTTGGCCGCGGTCGTGACACTGTGCGTCGCTGGAGGCTATACCATAAATATTAAAAATACAGAAAATCTGTAAGTATCGTTATGGGGGCTCTATTTAGAACAAAAATGTTTGCGTCATAATACATTTCTATACGCTAAATATTAAAAATAACGAACATCGGTAGATATCATTATACGGAGGCTAGGCTTAAATGCGGGCTAAAGTTTATATAAAGTTCATTATCGAACATTAAGTTCTAGTTTTTTTTGTCTCGTTATCCTCCACAGGTGAAATGATTACAACAGAATCTTAGAACAAAACCCAAAACGCGGAACAAATCAGATATAAATAATAATATAAACAAGTGGAAAAGCATTAAGTTCGGCCGGTCCGAACTTTGGATACCCTCCACCATAGATATACTGACAGGTACTTGAAATGAAAATATAGGGAACATTCCAAATAGTGGCCATATACCGATAATTCTACAAACCGTAAACCATTATTTACACCAAATACAAACTTCAAAAAATTTTAATTGGAATGTTTCCCAAAATCTGTAAGATCCAAAAAGTGGACTGATACTGATAACGCATGGTAGAGTAGAAAATCCTCAAACTACTGTAATTTAGATTATATAGTTATATGAGGGAATGCCTAAAGGGGGACCAATATTGATTACATAGTATAGGAAATAGTGAATATTTGGGGATATCATTGTATGAGGGCTATGCCTAATTAGTGACCGGTATATGCCAATTTTGAACCCAATATTTTAACTGTTTATCTCAATTCTTTCATTCAGGAAGTATCACTATATTGAGGAGATAACTAAATGTCTGCCGATAAAACCCCCCAAAATACTGAAAATTAGGAGGTACCGTTATATGGGGGCTACCAGAAAAATTGGACCTAAATTTATAATACTTTGTAGAGACATTTACTACCCAATAAGAACTCAATGTACCAAATTTTAGCGTATTCGGTTGAAAAACGCCATCAAGAACCCCAAAATACCGAAAATTGGGAGGTTATATGGGAGCTATGCCTTAACGTGGACCGATATATCCCATCTTCGAACTTGACTGCCTGCAGACAACAGACAAACGTATGCAAAATTTCAGCACCCTATCTCAATTCCTTCAGAAGATAGCGTGATTACAACAGATGGACGGACATGGCTAGATCGTCTCAGGATTTTGCCCTGATCAAGAATATGTATACTTTATAGGGTCGGAAATGAATATTTCGATGAGTTACAAACGGAATGACAAAATTAATATACCCTCCATACTATGGTTATCTGACCTAGCCCTTGTGTGGGGGTTCCAGAAGGAGTGGACCGATATCCCCCATTCTTTTAAAATTCCATAAAAATTTTTTTGAACATTTTTTTTGCGAGCACATTTATGATTTTTGGTGCGTAGGTTAAGAAAAATATGCTGATTTGAAATCTGTTCGCGTTCACAAATTCGGATGCTGCGCACAAAAGTTATAGCGGTTTTAATCTTCTATTTCAAATATAAATTAAATGAATTTCTATTTGTTGTAATTCGGATAGCCCCCATATAAGGGTACTCCCAATTTTCGGTATTTTGGGGTTCTTGAGCGCGTATTTATATATTATATTAAATAGTTATCTGTTCCGCGTTTTAAGTTTGGTTCTAAGACTCTGCTGTAATCATTCATCTGAGGAGGATAGGGAGATAAAAAATTAGAACGTAAGGTTCGATAATGAACTATATCTGCATTTAGACCTAGCCCTTGTGTGGAGGTTCCAGAAGGAGTGGACCGATATTCCCCATCATCGAATTTGTACTAAGTTTGGAAGAAATAATAAGATGGGCAAAGTTTGGTCCAAAGAAAAATGGGGTCTAGAACCAACATTACGATGAAGCACATTTTCACCGTTTTATAATTATCCTTAAAAATTTTCTGAAGGTCTGTTAGGATTAATCTGATGAATACACCCAAAGTCGTGGAGGGTATTATATAGTCGGCCCGTCCGACTTTACTACTTTCCTTACTGGGTTATATTAAAATGACTAAACTGATTTGTTCCGGGTTTTGGGGTTACCTCCATATACCCGTA